ATAAGGCAATATATAACCATTGAATGATATATTGCCTACTGGAAATTAAGTTGAAAAAAAAGTTAACAAATCAAGAAAAAAAAGGTAAAAAGTTAATTGAAAAGTTACAAAGTAAAGGTAAAAAGTTAATAAGCTGAGTTAACAATTATATTTAGGTTTATAAACCAAAAAATGTGCCAGTATCAGAATTAATGTCTCTAAGGTTATAGTTTCATGAACTTCTTATAGAAGCACCTCTGTTATTTTTCTTTATATTTGGACTAGTTGGCGTTTCTTGTTATTACATTGACATTAATTTTTGCCATCAAAATATCCATATTTTTTTCATGTTACAAAGGTAATAAGGTCTTGTCCAATAACACTATTGGCTGGAAATGTTGATTTTCAAAGTATTTGACTGAGTGCTATATAAAGGACAGTAGAGCAAGTAGAACTGATCGCATTTCATAAAGAGGAGCAAACATAATCAAGATATTATTATTATTATATCTTTACCTGGAACTCTTATTTCTTTCTTTTGATGCTTATTTGTGACTAATGTAAATTACATTGTATGCGTGTTAACTTGTTATCTTTATTTAAAGAATATTTATTTCAAAGCTAAAACCTTCATTCACATAATGAGAACAAGGGTTCATTCATTCAACAGTTGAATCAACCAGTATCAGATATTAACAGATTCACTATTGGATTGGAAAAAATCTGGATCGGTTCATCTCTAGCGTTGAGAGGTCCCGTGGAGGGATTTGACCATTGGCTGCAATGCGTCTTAAAGCGTTTTCAGCGTCTGGCTCCCCTCAACTGTCTTTAAATCAGACGCTGAAGTCAGGAAATTGGAGCTTCTGCAGCTCAAAGCGACGCGTCAACCAGTCGAGAGAAGCTGATCTGGGAGCTGGGAGGGAGACGGGCAGCATCCAAACCGACATGGCTGCTCCTAATGAGCTGCTGGCATTAAACCATCAAAACCGAAGAAACAATAAGCTTTAAAAAAAATAAAAAATCACCACAGGGTTTACAAGTAATAGTGCACTGATCATTCCACTAACTTATTTTGTTAACAGTGGCAAAACAGTTTACAATTAATACCTTAAAATGTCAAAATTTAGAAGTGAGAATTTCTCCTTTTTTGGATTCTGGTACGAGCAGTTTTATACACCCTTAATAAAATAATAAATACTCAACTAGAGGCGCGAACAGCAACAGGAAAACCCAGACTGATCTGCCTTTTTGAGGTAAGTTATTAGTGCCAGTAAAGCCAGGCATACACTGTGCGATATTTACAGTCGTTTCACGCAGCTACAGCTCACACCATATTTAGGGTGAATTTGATAACATAATAATTAATAATAAATCTTATTTTGGTTTTAAACATATCTAGTTTATTTTTCTGTCTTTTTCTCTTATAGATGTTGATGTGTCTCCATCCTACAGCTTTATCAAAGCATAACCAAATATGCCGCTTTTGTGATGACATCATCTAGTGACCGTCTTTGCTAAAGAGTCGGCAAATATGAAACTATCGACTATCTAAAGGTGTGATCTTAATGCTGATTAACCCACTGCAGGGATTAAGTTTTATGGAGAACCTTGTCATTTAAAAACGTCTTGAAACTACTTTTTAATTCTCATCACAGCAATTAGAGCAAAGCCAATCTGGCATAAACTTTGCTCGATGTGCGTCTGTCTTCGGTGTACACACGCGTCCAAGATGAGGGGCAGGGAATCTGGACTCTTTAAAACAGCCTGATTAGGAGGTTCATCCAATCAGAAATCATCCTGAAAGCAGGGGGGCTTTACCATTAGGCAATACAAGCAGTTGCCTAGGGGCCTAAGTTCGTGATGGCCCAATAAAACTATGTTTACATGTATAGTTAATACATCTATTGTATTTTGATAAAAATCCTTTCGCTAAAATGCTTATAATATTAATTGTGTCTCAGCTCCCCCCCTTTAGTGTCCACCACATTGGATCAGTCCATTTGCTGCACATGCTCAGAAAGGTCCAAACAGAGAGCAGCAAACCATTTGAAAACAAACAATGTGACTCGGAGTGTTGCTAACGTACAGTAGCACGTTTGTCACTATATTTTGCAACTTTTCGGACATCTCTTGCACTTTTATTTTTTTAAAGCGCCTACTAAGGATGCACGATATAATCGCCCCCCTATCGGTATCGGCCTGTATCGGCCTTAAAACTGAATATCGGACATCGGCTACCCCACCGATATTTAACCCGATATTTGATCAGCTTCTGAGTTTCTAAAGTCTAAAAAAAAAAATAACATTTCTTTTCTTCCTCAAAAACTTCTTTTTTACAGACTTAAAAACTTCTAAAGACGAGGGAAAAAATATTGATACATTAAAATATCACAATATCTTCATATGCTGATATATTGCCATTTAAAAACACCATATCAATCTCTTTTACTAATGAAATATTGCTATATGTCATCGTTATGCTATGAAATCCCCCGAAAATTCACCAAATTTTGCCCCATTTTTGTATGTTGATATATTGACGCGGTATCGATCTATTTTACTAACAAAATCTCACAAGAATTTGCAAAATATCACGAGAGTTTGTAACAGAACGATGATCACGAGATTTTGAAAGTAAAATAGATCAATACCACGTTTTTAAAAATCTATTTGATATCAGCATATGAAAATATATTTGAGTATATTATTTTTCAAAGTGTCAGAAATGGATAACAAGACTGCTATTTTCAATGACTACTTATTTTTGTCCAGCTTTAACATCGGTATCGGTATCGGTTACCTGAGTTTTAAAATATCGGCATATCGGATATCGGCCAAAATCCCAATATCGTGCATCCCTAGCGCCTACCATCAAATCTAGTGACTTTTTTCTGGAGACTTTGGTGACAACATCTAAAAGCAGCGAACTCTGCTCTCCAGAGCAAGTAGATTGGTAACCTCGCCTCCTGCTCTCCTCTATCTTGTCTGCTGTCATGATTCATGCAGCTGTTATTTCATACAAATGAAAAATAAAGAACAGAGAAGCACATCATGGCTTGTCTTCAGTGAAAAGAAGGACTGGAGGAAAACAAGAAGAGAGGGACAAAACGTGGAACAAATAATGTATGTCTATTCTTAACATTTCTGTATCTGTAAAGTGGGTCTGTTCTTATTGTCTTCTCAATTCAGAGGGCCCCCTAGCCGTCTTTGCCAAGGGCCCCAATTTTCCTAAATCCGCCCCTGCCTGGATGAGTCCCTCTGGAAGATTCTTTGGCAACTGAAAGGAAATCTGGAGACAGATTAAGATTTTCATCCTTTTGGGCCGATAAGATACAGCAGGATGGATGAGTTTTAATTCAATAAAAACATTTATTCACAACAGATGTTGTGAATCCGTGAAACAGTTTGAATGTTTACTGTTTAGGTGCAACTCAGTTTTAAAACTTGAAAATTGAACAGTCATTCTCCTGGAGCTGAATAGTTTTGTTTTTTTCTGGGAGGGAGGATTAATGTTTTCATATTATGGTATCTGAGAGGAAATCTCCACCATTAACGTCCTTAACAACTCTATCAGTCAACATGGGTGCTAACACTCCAGCATTCATCGCTTAAAGAGTTTATAAAACTAAAACAAAAGTTCTTAAAAGGTCAGCCTCCAGAGATAAGGCCGCTCGGACAGGACAGAGGCACCGCGGCGAAGGTTACCGCTGGGACTGCTGCTGGGTGCAGCAACGCCCCGTTTCCTTTGAACGCAACACACACACAGCCTCACGCCCTTTCCCACAGAACAAAGAAACAATGGAGGCAGGAAACGGCCCAACCAGGAGCTCTGCCCACCATGGAAATACACACCGAGGGTCCGACTTCTGTTCTGGCTGCCCGCCAATGACGAGGCGCGCGCGCACTTTTAACGAGCACCGCCGCAGCTCTATCGCTCGGCCTCAGCAGGGCTGCGGTTCCTGTAGCTAATCAGAGAGAGGCAGAGAGGGGAAGCTTCATGGGCAGGGAGGGGGGGTCACTTTAAACAGCCTGAGGTCAGAGGAGATGGAAACAACAGAGCTGAACATGAAGCAGCCAGATAAAGGTGACGTTTGCTCCCAGCGTCTCCTAAGAGGCTGATCTTCAAATTCAACCCTTCGATCTCAGAGTGTTGGCCTAGTGGTTAGAGCAGTGTGCTTGTGCCCTGAGAAGGTCTCACATACTCTGTTTGATCCCCACAGCCTGCACTCTGGGTCCCTGAGCAAGACCCTTAACCCCCGAATGTTCCCCGGGTGCCACACAATGTCAGCCCACTGCTCCTATAGTGGATGGGTTAAATGCAGGGAGGGGATTTCCCCATTTTGGGACAATATCGTCTAATAAAGAGTAAATTTATATACATGTTTAAGCCAGAATGATTTGGTATTTAACTATGATTTCTCTATGACTTTTAATTTATCCAGAATGTCATTTTTGGGTTTCCAAACTTATTTGAAATTTAAACACAGCAGAACAATCTGTGTCCCTTTTCATTTGGCTCAATTCAATGTACCAAAATAATTCACTTTCTCATTATTTTATGTTCAATACATAAAAGTTAAAATCCTTAAAGATCTGCTTGTTTGATTGTAGATATTTTTATCTACTGCTTATTTTCTTACATGGGATGTTTCTTATTTTTTAAATATGAGTCAAAGTGGCATCAGATTGAACTTAATAATTTATTTCATTTAAAATAAATATGGAAAAACGTGTTGATGCCCAATATTAAAGTGTTTAAAAGGAGGCAGATGGAGACATACATTTATAAAGATGCACAAAAAAATAAAAACTTCCTGAAAATAAAAGCTGCTGCTAATCTATGAAGGACATAAAGGAAGAGATTAAAACAATTAAAAAGTAAAATCTCTAAAATAAGGGAACCATTGAATGATCAGAAGACATGTAGAGATTTTCTTTTTTTTCAGATTTGTACTAAATGTAAAGTCAGAGAGGAGCCTTCTTCTGAAATGATCTGGGATCAGAATCTGAGGAGAACTTACTGGTGTGCATCGTTACATTCGCCGACTCATTGTCCGTCTGCGACTGAACCTGCAGCTGATAGGCGGTTCCAGGGTCCAGGTGATCCAGCCGGCAGGTGAAAACCTCCGCCCTGCTGCTGTTCCCTCCTTCCTCGCCACCGAGAAGCAGCAGCTGCGCGGTCGGCGCAGCAGTCGCTCCTCTCACCTCCTCCCGCTCCTCTACGGTCTTGTTCCTCCAAAGTTCCCATTCAGGGATCCTTCTGCACTCCGAGACATCCGCCCCGACCTCAGGCGACGTCACAGAGAAGGAGCAGTTGTGTCCGGGCGTGCTCACCGTTACAGAAACGGAGTTCAGAGCAGATTCTGATCCAGACACGGAGAGGCTGCAGGGAACGGATGCTGCAGGATCCTCTGTGGGAGCTGCGCTGCTCACAACCTGACAGAAACAGAGCAGCTCCATTTAGGATGACTTTATTAAATCAGCTTCTGTACTTGATAACTGAAATAGAACCTGAATGGCATCAGCAGATGTAAAAGCATTTACACACCCAGTTATCTAACCTCCTGCTGAAACAGGAAGCTTTAGAAATCTAAACAGAAGAAACCTCTGGAATTAAACAAACATGGTTTTAACTCCAGAAGATGATTTAAGGACCATGATTTCTGTCCATAACCTTCTGTTTTCTGATATTAAATTAATCCAAACTAAACTTTCCTAGATTTGGGATCTTTGTCAACCTCCATTTGCAAAAATAATGAAATAATTCATTTTAATTCAGAGGTTTACATCCATTTCTTCAGTATTTGGAAGAACTGAATTCAGTAACTAGACAGCTCTGATTCCCTTTAATCTGAACCCACTATTCCTCTCTGGGTGTCTTTCAGACACCAATCCTCAGGGGACACTGTCCAGTTTGGAAGGTCCATTGGTGCCCAAGGTTTTACTTCTTGGTTGTGTCTGCTTTAAATGATCTTCTTTCAGCAGGAAAATACCCCCACATCATAACACTGCCACCCTCGTACCTCACAGACAGGTTGGTACTCTCAGTCTAGAAGACTTCCCCCACGTTTTCCCGCCAAACAAAACAATGGGCATTATGGGGACTTTTAGACTCATCAGACCATGGGACATGTCTCCAAAATCTTGGACTTTGTCCTTGAAATTGTCTTAACAGAAATCCAAGTGTTTATGTTGCTTTGGGAGTCATGGCTTCTTCCTTTCTGAGCGGCATTCAAGTTGAGGAGGATCCTTCCAAATCAGCTTGGACTGTGTCTTCACAAGCTCTTTAACGGTGGTTCTGTGGTGTATTGGCACATCTCAAACAGAACCTGTTCATCTCTGAAGCACAGAACCTTTCTCCTTCCTGAACTTCTGATGGCTGGACGTTCAACCCAACTGAAGAGAAACCAGCTCCATCAGCACCCAAGAGTGGAGCAGACATGTGGAGGTCCACCATTCTCTTCCTCAGACCTTTGATGACCATACTATAACATTTTATCTTTAGAGCTTTCGTTACAAACAACATCCAAGCTGATCAAAGTGCTGTACAAAACATTAAATCCTATGAATCCCATGGCGTCCATATATAAAGTAGCTCTGATAAACAGGAAGTGGCCAAGTTAGCCCTTTTTCACAATTAAAAGCAAATAGGAGAACTTTAAAAAGGATTTGAAACTTAAATGGAAGATATTAGAGGAATGCTAAAACAGGAGCTATAAACTAAACATTTATTTTCACCAGTTCAAAACCGCGTGGAGTGTTCTGTACTGAAATATAAAGGTCCAGGTGTGAGCGTGAACCTGGAACAAGAGGAGCTTAAACTTTTCAATATACCTCAACTGTAAAAAGGAGGAGTTGGATCATGGCATTTACAAGCAAATTTGGGTCCATTTTTTCCTGAATTAGAGAAGCTGGACTTTTCTGTGGTTTAATATGGAAGCAAAGAGAATGAGGAGTTGCCTTTGAATACAGCTACAGATTTTCCCCCATTTAATCGAATCCTTTAAACTCATGACACCAAATATTTAGAGACGATTCTGGAGGTTGAAAAAGAAGGAGAAAGTCATAAAAAACCCCGAAACTAACTAAATTAAAACAATTTCTAAAATCCTAAATGATGGACCATGAGTTGGACCTAATGTCAGACAACAAAGAAAAGAAAACAAATGAAAGTTAAAACCCAAAAAGAGACGTTAGGGCCAACTTAGAGCTAATACAACCAAAAAGTACAAAAAGAACAATTATAACATCTAAAATATTTCATATCTAGCAGAAACCCCAACGTAAATATTGTTTGGAGTCTGTAAATTTGGATGAGTTAAAAATATTTATTTCCTGTACAAGAAAACCGTATCATTCCAAATTACGGTGGATTTAAGGAACCAGCAGCAGCTGTTTTGTAACGTTGTGATTTCCAAGCTGCCTTTAGGAGCTGGGAGAAAAATAAATCAACAGAGAAAAAAACAAAAATTTAAAAAGAGAAAATGGTGAAATCCCTACAGAGATGCTAATGCAGGAAAAGTGTAGGAAGCAGGAAAAAGCAAACTTTTACAGCCAGCTTTGAAGTCTGCGGGGGGGGGGGGGGGGGACAGGTGTCCAAGTCGGACAAACAAGTCCGAGGCTGAAGAAGAGCTTTGATGTTATTGTTCAGAGAAACTTTCAGGAGGCTCAGAGAAGCTGAAGGACGCATGTTTCCTCTCCAAATATGTGAAGATGACCAGGCGAAACTTTATGACCATAGCGGGGAAGTGGGGCCTAATTGTGAATACGGCAAGTAAATAAGCAATTTAACATTTTGTTTTCAGTCTATAGATGTTCACAAGTCCGTCTCTTCAGCTCACGTTCCAATTCTCACCCCAACATCTGGCTCGGCTCTACCTTTACATTGCCTTAGGTTCACTTCTCCTTTGGCTCAAGTTATTACATAATCATTATCATCAATCTTTTGATGGGCTATTTATTCATCTTCTAAATTCAAATTTAGAATAAAATCACTGATTAAGTTTCATTTTTAATCAATGTGTTTAGAAGTTACCATCTTTTTGTTCCCGGCTTTATTCTGCGTTCTTCTAAATCTGGTTTCAGGTTTTCTTCTCACTCTGAGATGTTTTTAATAAAATTAGAAACCATTTCATAAACCTGTATTTAAAAAATTTGTTCTCGATTCAAAGTAGCAGACATTTTCAAACAAAGTAGTAATTACAAAAAGAGACAACCCAGTAAGTATATTTTTTAAAAAAATAAACAGGAAGTTTATTTTTATATTCACAGCAGAAAGTGTCTGTTTAATGTTACAGCTAGCTTAGAAAGCTAGCTGTGTTACATTTAATGTTCTAAACTCCTTTAATGCGGCGCTTATTTTGAGGCACATCAATGTGCCCTAACCTTAACCCTATGATGCTAACGCTAACAAGCTCTTAAAGGTATAGAGAACGATCTTTTATTTCCGGGTGGATCATCTCAATAAGTGGCCCTCCTAATTGTCAATCATTCTGGTGATATGTTTACGCAAGGACGTCCTACGTACACATCCCGTTAGCCATCTTTTTCTGCACATGTGAACTTTCAGGCGTATATGTCGTAAGAGAAAAAATGTCTACGAAGTGTATGAGAAGAAAAGAAAGGTCTCAGAAGAGGCAGATATATCCCAGAATGCTTTGCACTGTCCTCACAAAGCATTATGGGATTTGCTGTCATAGCGGATAGTGACAGCAGCGACTAATAACAAAGATGGCGCAGGCACTGCGCGGTGGAGGAGTAGTTACGTGACCAACGGAGTAAAAAGAGTTCACTACAAAGTCGATTATGTAGTGATTGAAGGAGTTAGGACGGTCATTCGGACACAGTAAGCTTGGATGAGGTATGGGAACAGCAACTTTTAAACAGAGCGCACGAGCCCATTTCTCCTCGTCCATGCTCTCGCACACATTTAATAGGCGTTCCCTCTAGTGAGCGGGTACAGGGTTGTGCATGTGCATTTTTTATTTTTTTTTTAAGTGGAGAGGACTTTTTAAAAAATCATGAAAAATCCTCCACAACACATTTACCATCCAATAATAATCCACCATCAGCGCTCATCCTTTAACAGTGAAACTGTCTGTAGCTCAGATCACCACTTCCTGTCATCACAGGAGCCAAAAACTGTTGCTAAGACTTAAGTCTCAATCATTGAGTCCAATACTGGTCTCATGTTTTTTGGGCCGTAAGTTTAAAATACTTTATTCTGTTTTCCTCTAGAAAGTACTCAGAACTAAGAGGAATTTGCCTTTTTTATTATGGATATTTTGATATTTTTATTTTCTAATCACACTGATATTTTGTATTCATTTATTTTAGATTTATTTAGAGATATTTCAGTTTCCAAATCTTTATTCCTTCATCCTTACTTTTGTTTTTCTATACTTACTATTACTATCAAGTCTCACTTTAGATGAATATTAGGAAAGTGGATTGATGATCTGCAGGGGAGTGATGGAGGATCCAGGATACAGGACTAAGCTGCTGTTCACGTCTGGCTGTCAGGTGTTTTAGTGCGACGCATCGAGGACAAACCCACTGTTATCAGGTGGTTATAATGTTCTGCCTCAGTAATATAAGTAGGGCTGCAACAATCAGATTAGTTGTGATTAATCGATTATTGCAATAATTGTCAACAAATTTAGTAATGGATTATTTGATAACTGGAATTTAGAGACTCTAAAACACGCATTTAGCCGACAGAGCAACCCACTATGCTCTATCCAGAACTCCTCAAGTGGAAAAGTTTTAGTTTCCCCCCGGTTTAATTTAAGAAAAAAATGTCTTTAAGGAACCTTTTAATGTGTGATTATTAATCGATAAATAGAAAAAATTATAGACATCGATAAGAAAAATAATCGTTAGTTGCAGCCCTAAATGAAAGAATGAGAGGAAGAAACAATTTGAGCTTTTAACTGTTAGAAAATGACATTAAGAGTTTCTGGTCTGGTTTTTTCAGACACTAATTTATTTTTATGATGTGATTTTTAAAAACTTTTTACTCCTCATTATTTATTATTTGAGTTTTCCCCTTTCTTATTTCCCCTTTCCTCTTTAGAACGTCAGAAATCCTGCAGAGCACAGCCTGTGGAGTCCCTGCCGTTATTTTGTCTCCTTTCTTTCTTCCCATGAAACAATCAGCCCTTTATATTTCTGAGACAAAACGCTTGAAACTTTGAAAATATTTGTCCAAAGTTGCATCTGCGAAGATAAAAAATCTCTACTTCTATTTGAGGGAATAATCTGTGAGCTGATGTTTCCTAAAGTAAAACAAACCTGACGTATAAAGCAGGACAAATTGCTCCATTTTCTTTGCAGAGATGCTGCAGCAGCATCAGGCAGCCCGTCTGACAGATCATCAGCTGCAGCTATTTAAAGACCAACTCTCGCTTTTGGTTAGAAGCTGTGCTTCTCGGCGATAACAGCCGAAAAACTGGGAAGAGCAGCGAACAGAAAAGTTCAGGGGGTTCAGAAGAGACAGCGGAGCAGTCAGGACAGAGACGGGAAAAGAAGGAAGTGATCCAGGGGAAAATCAAACAGCAGCCATGCTGATGGCTGTGGGAAAATAAATCAGATTCAATACTGCAAAATAAAGTCCAAAAGATTCTAAAAAAAATTAAAAACTGAGGATTTATCATTTCTGTTGACGCCATTTAAGGTGGCTCTGTTTCAGGTAAACAGGAGAGGAGATAATCTGCTTAAATCAGGAGGAAAATGCACACCCAGAGATCAGCTTTTAGCGCCTCGTCCGTCATTACTCTGCGGTTAATGTTGATCTGGGTCCAGATTGTTTGTTTTCCACTTTCTCCAATGTTGGTTTCATCGTTAAACATCAATACATTTAAAAATCACATCAAATGAAGGAGGGTCTGCAGTTCAGTAAGTATAAAAATGTCCTTATGTATCTGCTGTCATGACGACGTTATGCTGCTCAGACACCGTGCTTTATCTATAGCCATGATTTAGGACCTGTTCTTCACACCTTCAATGTTCTGGTCCAATCTTCTGGTTACTACCATCCGTGAGGCAGACACCCTGTCTACTTTAAGGCTAGGCATAAAACTTTCCTTTTTGATAAAGCTTATAGTTAGAGTGGCTCAGGTTATCCTGAGCTATCTCTATAGTTATGCTGCTATAGGCTTAGACTGCTGGAAGACATGGGGACCCCCATTTTATTATTCTGTTTAATTCTATCTCTATTCTCCCACTCTGAAGAATTTGTTAGTTCAATCTCTAACGTTCTGCTCTCTCTGCTTTTTCTCATAGTAGCTTCATCTGGTCTCTTCCTGTTTGGTTGTGACTCCATCCTGGAGAGAAATATCAGCTGTGCTGCTGCCATCAACACCTTTGTTTATAGATGTTGGAGATCGGCCTGTTTTCCAGTGTAGTCCTGTTTCTCTGAGTGTGACTGGCTGGATGTGCTCTCTTCATCCACTGACATGGGAGCTGGCTCAGAGCTCGTCTGCCTGGCTGTGTGTTTCCTGGAAGGGGGCCGCCTGAGGAGCTGGTTGACAGTTTCCTTTTGTATCTCTGCTTCTGTCTCCTTGAACCCCAGTCAGCCTCAGCAGATGGCCGCTCATCTTTTCCTTAGATAGAAAACTTTTAATCAATCCGACTATGATCTAGTTTATTTGTATCTGCAGATTGCCTTGAGATGACATGTGTTGAACTGGCACTATAGATATAAACTCAATTGAATTGAGGATCGGTTTCTAAATCAAGTTAAGCTACACTGTACCCTGAGCTGGAAAGTAGCCCAAAGCATAATGCCTCCACCTTCGTGCTAGACCTCTGTTAGTAATGAGTTAAACTTCAGTTCTCATCAGACTACCTTCTCAGAATAATCCTTATTCTGGTGGATCTTAGATTATCGTAGGAGGAACATGCCTCAGGTTCGCCCAGAGATGAGCTCCTTTCAGACTTTCAGACGTTGGACGCGTCAAGGGTGGATGTGTATTTAATTGGTTTAAACCAGTTTGGAGCCTCAGGAGGAAAAGGATCCAGAGAAGAAGAACAGAGAAGGTGCTGAAATGAGGGATTAATGAGAAGAACTGTAACAGAAGCTAGCATCGTGAGGTTCTAAAGGAGAAAAACATTTAGATGAATAGAAAAAGAGACATCATCATGTTTGGTGAACTACCAACAGAAAACTGGACATTAATATAAACTCAGAGACGCGCAGAGACGGTTTCTATCTACTTCTCTTTTTTTTTTTTCCCAGCTCCACAGTAACAGAGGAAGGTGGAGCGAAACTAAACATATTTTTGTTCTAAATTCTGGATTCTTTTGGATTTTTCAGATGTTATAAAACTTCCTTTAAGAATGAAATGGTTTCTTTCTTAAAACCTTGTTGAAAATATTCAGATAAAACATATTTTAGGTTAAAGTCTGCTGGTTTTATTTTTCCCTTTGCATCTTTTTCTCTGCAGAAATGTCTGCGGTCTTTCTTTGAGAAAAAGAGAAGATCTCCTTTTCTTAGAGGTCCCTCTGCTTCAATCAGCTTTGGGGCCACAATCGTAATTCACTCACTTTTACAAATCTAAGCTCCTTTAGCTGAAATGAAAATGAGGAATCAAGCTGGAATTGTTTTATTTTTTTTTTATGAACAAAAGCAGTGTCTTCATCTTTTATTTACTAAATCGCAAGAGTAAAGGGAAAAAAAGCATAAAATCATCTTGAGAGGTTTCCCACCTCGCATGCATTAGCTTTCAATATATAAAACATGTTTTCCCTAAATAAGCCTGATCTGGATTCAGCAGACTGACCTGGAGCAGAAGCAGCAGTGAGGTGAACCTCAGGCAGCAGCAGAAACGTCTAACTTTACATTTCAGCATTTTGCTCGTCCTTCAGATCCTCAGTCGGAGCATGCACCACCATAATCCTGAGCTCCGATACGTTTCAGAAGCAGATCCCTTCCTTCTGGCGTCTCTGTTGGAGTCCGTGTAGAAACAAAAAGGGTCCTCCTGTGTCCTGTGAAACAATTTAATCCCTTATTTTGTGTTAATCGTGTCCAGGAAAGTTTTGTCGTCTCCTCTCATGTCCATCCTGCACTCAGCCCTCCTTAGACTGGACCTTTTCCTCTCTGGACCCTGTCTCACCAGCTGTATGTCTCTCTCTTCCTGTCTGTCTGTTGGTCCGAGGTGTCGACGTTCCAACTCTCTTACGGACTTCCTCAATCAACCTGAAAGCCCAGAGTCGCTGCAAAAGAACAACTACAAACCCAGCAGAGACGGAGACTATAAATAGGCCCTGCAGCCAGCAGAGCTGCACATCTCGCTGCACCGACCACAGAGGAAGGATATAGAAATAGAGAAACAGCTTTTCTAACTTTACCTCCATCACTTCACTCCTTTCATAGATCAAAATACTAAATTACTGTAGGACAATCTATATTTGTTGCCTCTTAAAGTGTCTACAGTTTAGTGTCACTTTAATGAAGATTAAACATCAGACATTCAGTTTCAGAGATTTAAAGAGAACTTAAACATTATGAAATCAGATATTTAATTTAATAGAAAATAGTTCAAAAGTGAAGGATGTTTAAAAATGATGTCAACTTGTTCAGGTTTGGCTTTAAGAGGTTTACCATGAAAGCTGGAAGCAAGATGCTGACAGACGTTAATGTCTGAGCGATCGGGACTGATCAATGAGAGCAAACCAAGGATGAAACATTTTCTCTCCAAGAAAAAACTGAAACATGAACATTTGAGAGAACAGAGAAAAAATCCTGATCTTTCAGACGGCTGAGCCTAAATCCTATAAAACAAATACAGAGTTTCATTCTCACTGTGGAGCTCGGAAGAGGGAGCATCATGGTGTTTTATTAATTATTTTTATTTGTGCTGCAGCAGGTCCTGGCCAGGTAACCTTCAACGGAAAATGTGAGACAAAGTGTAAACAATATAAAGCAAATGTTAGAACTGAAACCTGCAGTTTGAATTTAACCAAAAAACGATGAAACCACGAAGAAAAGGCAGGAAATTCTGTAATGGAACGGCCTAGTCCAGAGGTAACCAAGTAAAAATCAGCGGGGACCGAATAAAGAAAATCATCAACCAGTAAAGGTCCGGGGACATTTTTTATTATAATCTGTTGCTTTAAAATAATTTAACACTGAATTAAAATGAGGTGTTTATGCATCCAAGTTATACATTGACTTTTTAGAAAATAAAATATAAAAGAAAATAGAAAATTTTTCCATTGTAAAATCTTAAGTGTTTTTTGAAGTAGAGAACAACAATCATTCAGTTTGGTATATGGACAATTTCCTGATTCATATATTTTATAAAACGCCTGAACTGACCGTTTGTTAATTTTTCTGTCTTAATGTTGGCAGTGGGCTTTATTCTGCCCTGCAAGGCTTTAAACCTGGGTTTAATGGAGACAAAGCCATTCTAAAGCACATATCAAGGTGCTCATTTTGAGCCTGGATCCATATTTATTTTTGATTCTATTCATGGTGGAGAATCCTGCTTCACAGCAGCAGGTTGAGTCAAACATCCTCTAAATGTGCAGGATCATCTTAGAGCACCATTTCACTTTTCTTTCACCAGTTCACTGCAGTTCTTCCAGCAGTCCACACTTTCTCTGCTCTCTTTTTCTCATCATCTTCTCCTTCTTTCCCATCGCTCGGCTTGCCACAGGTTTGCCTGCTGTGTCTAAAAGTAGCAGCAGCAGCAACCCAGACTGACAGCAGCTCACTGGATCATTTGGATCACGTGCAGCCTGGTGCCGGACGCTCCGGAGGGCTTTACCGTATTAACAGGAGAAGCGAAGTTAGACACTGCCATCAGACAACATGGCATAATTTTTAAATGTTTTAAATCAGGTTGTGTCCGGATTAGCCAGCAGGTGACCTCTGGCCCAGTCAAAGTCCAGATCTTGATCTTGCTGAGGACCTATTGGGTAACTTTAAAGATGGAGACAGCAGATGGAGGCAAAAAGCTTCTAACGGAGCTTCTTTTAACCAATGGAGTTCAAACTCTGGCTACCCATCAGGAGGTGGACTAACTTTCCCTCAGCTGTAAAATTCCCTTTTCTTAGGACTTTACAGTTCTTTTATTAATTAAATATTAAATATATATATTAAATAGAGAAAAGACTGTATCATTAAACAGCTTGCTGACTTTTTTCCCATAACTGTGTGTTGGACCACTTCATCTCAATTACATTCTTATTGTTGGTTATAAAATATACAAGCAACAAGCCTGTCTCAGTTTATATGGTTAATGTTTTCCACTATCTGTGGATTCATGAATGAGGTGGTTAGAGGTTAGCTAGAACAGCTTTCAGAAATCCTAATCCCCCCCAAAAAATGCATCTTTCAGTGTAGAAAAGGAAGATGTTAATTCTAGCTTAGAATCATAAATATAAATAAAAAAAAAACACCATGTAGAAAAAAAAAAGACATTTAAAAATGACATCCTTATTTTATTTCAATATAATTTTTTTATTCTTTTCTTAACAGCAGCGTAGCTTACAGCTGTGAGTAAAACACCTAAAAACATTTTGATTCCTGTTATTCTAATAAATGATCTTCGTACCAGCCTGGTTTTCAGCTAACAGATGTAGGAGGACGGATCAGTGTTTCTCAGAGGCTTTTAAACATCAGGAATGTGAACCTGAAGCTGCCATTTTGGTTCAACAAGTCAAGTAAAAGTCATCTCATTTCGTGTTATTCAGCTGGTTTCCTATGAACATTATCCTGAGATTGTTTCATTACAGAAACTTTCAACCCTTTTCATCTTTTAAATATATCAACGGGGTCCTCATTGTTACGGCTCAGTGAGTCATAAATGTGTTGGCTGCGATCAGACACTTCATTTGGCCACATAGTGTTGGAGTCCAGTCTTTTGTTAACCAGTGTTGCGGGTTAAAGGTCAAACTCTTTTTGTTTCAGCTGGTTTGAGCTACATTTAGTCATCCACACCTCTTTCCTTCCTTCCTGCTGCCCTTAGCTTTTCCCTTTATTATTTTTACCATGAAGTAAAATGTTTGTTTCCAGGAAACACAGAAGTGAAAGCTAGGCAGACATTTTACCACCTCACTTATACCAACCTACTAAGATATTAAAATATTACACAAGATGCCGCACCGATGAAATACTGAGGAAAGGGGAGTAGAGTATGGTCAGTTTGGGGTTATTTGTGGCCTTCCTGTGACCCCGGTTCAAGAATTTGAGAAGAAATTGTCGGCAAAAATAATTTTGATCTTTTTAAAGCAAAAATGTTGGATACAATGCAAAATATTCATCCTCTGTTATGTTTTTTCTACTCATTTTTTACTGTTGCTTTTATTTTGTATTACATCAAATTATTTTTAAGCTATTAATGCTTCTGTTATTCTCTCTTATAATTGAGCAGCTAAACCAGAAGGAATATACAATAAAATAATGTTTTCTATTTGGAGAAAAAATAATTTTGTAGTGTAGATGTGAATAAACCACAGTTTTTATCTTCAGGGTATTTATTGCACAGATTACAGGTAAGAATATATATGAGGGTAGAGTAGATAAGGTTACAGCACTACTCAGTGGCTAATGTTCTGGACCATTAACAACATTCAAGTTAGCTTGTAGTACATTACAAGTCATGTATCATATGTATATATAAGACCAAAGTGCACTAATCAACATCGAGTGTACTCAGACTGATGATCTGTAGTGCCGAAAACAGTTTAAAGGGACCCTAATGTTTCAGATTCCTATAAATCAAATGTTCATTTCCAAAATTACAGACTAACAAAGAAACGCATCACAGATTCTGTTTCTTTTTAAACAGTGCCACAAGTACAGGATCTATAAAGTTACAGCACAACTGGAAGGCTAAATTAATTCATTTAAACTGAATTTAAATGTGTTCGCTTGTTCTAAGCTGCTTTTAGACAGGATTAGCCCACGTCATTTTTAGCTAGCTGCGTTATCTGTAGCCAATAACTAGCTTAACAAGAAAAGTTATGTAATTCTTTAAAAATGTCCCCAAAATAACAAACTTCACAGAGTGGTTTTGAAGCTGAAGTTAATCTCAAAGTAACCATGGAATACAGTATATGGGAACAATTATAGATTTATATTTGATGAAATGTGTTATTCTTTCAGCCAATCAAGCTAAAATGAGCTAGCTCAAACTGGTATAAATTAGTATAAACTGGTATAAACTGGCTCAAAGCTGAGGATTTTTAAAATGTCCAAGCCTGTTTCTAGGTTGAATTTAGTGTTTCTTTCTCTTCTCTTTGTTTGTTTTTAGTGAATTTTAATTCAAAAGCTTAATTCAAACAATAATGCCAGATCTACGTAGATTTGTCACGGCTCCAACATCATCTCCAATGACTAATGGTTAAATTTTAAGGCCAAGCTTTAAACATTTTAGCTATTATATTTATTTTTTTTTCTGTAAAGGGTTTGTCAAACATTACAGCTTAAAAAACAGCCCATATTCAGAGAAGTTCGCTATTCTGGTTCCACAGGTCTGAAAAGCTTAAACTTCAGTCCTATTTTGTAAGGGCTTTGCTCTTTAAGGCTATCGCTAGTGGGTTTATCTTTCTCACTTGCAAAGGGATAAAGCCACTAGCGATAGCCTTAAAGGGCGAAGACTATACAAAATAGACATAACCAACAATCTGAGTTGATTTTTTACATTTATGTTTTACAGTATACATAGCAAATTAGTTACAATTCTTTTGTTGCAATTTTAGAAGAATTGCTTAATCTCTTTTACATATTTAACAGTTAAAACACCTTTACGAATCAGTAAATGTCCTCTGATTAGTCTTGTATTTCCAGACATTAAGCCGCTGTGTGTCCGATAAGTTTGCTTCTTTGCATTATGGGCATTTTCGTTTAATCACAGCATAAAATCACTTTAGCTAGAACCTAAGCACAGAACGGCTACATGCAGGGATAGAAGAGGTGATGAAAAGGCAGTGCCTTAAAGAGCAAACTTATCTAATATGATCTAACACCAATATACCAAAAACTGCATGTTATATGAATTATTAAGGGATTCATTTAAGAGATAAAATAATTAAGACTTCTGAAGAGCCTAAAGTAGTCCTGGAGGGTTGAAGTCCACTTGCCCGTCATGCAACCTCGACCCATGTAAGAAAAAGGTTACTAAGCTGGGCATGAGGTGAGGTTTTAAACAAAGCAAGTGGCTTTTGCCATATAGATTCATTAAATGAACATTACTT